TACCACGAGAGACGTGGTCTGGCATTAAAAAAAAATAATAATAAATCTTTAATTTGATAAAAATTAAGAATTAATTTTTACATATACAAATAATTAGTTATAATTATTTTTTAGTAGTATCTGATCTGAGATTATTTTATCTAAGTGCTTGACAAAATATTAAGGATATTATGATGTTAGTTTAATTTTAAAAAATAATATGTTTAGTCTCGATTGATGTAAAAAATAATAAAAAAATATCTTACTATATATATATATATATATATATATATATATATAAAAGTAGCCTCTGTTTCAATTATGCCTCCATTATTGGTACTTGTAGAAATTATTGTTTCATATTTTATACTAAGCTGCACAGTATAACATGTGGTTTTTTTTTTAAAAAAAATATACTCACTAATCTTTATATAATACATCAAGTGTTTTAAATTTTTTTAAGTTTTTAAATTACATTCCATATAACTCAAAAAATTTAAATATTCAATTTGTTTATCTGATAAATTTTTTTTACTATTTTTTAAATTAATAATTAAACAATAATAATGATTTAAGAGGAGAAAGGAAAAAAGATAACATAGTCCTTTATTTTTTTTGTTAACTAACACATCATTAGTAGATAAAAAATTAGATTAAAAAATTTAATTGATATTTTCAACAAAATTAATATATTGAAAAAAATAAAAATCGATGTAATAATTGAAAAACATTTAATTTTTAATAATGTACTTTTTATGTAGTTTTATCATTAATGATCTATATCTAACTGACATGCTCAAAAGTCATGTAACGTATTAAAAAACCCCACCACATTGTTGAATCTAATATAGAAAAATAAAATTTTGCATTACGGCCTTGACGGAGCTATCTGCTTTGGGCCTACCAAGTAGAGACGAGAGGCATTAGCACCAATTAATCTATTGTTCGAAAGCATTGACCTACCTACCTGCGAAAGGTCCAGCTAGAAGCACCTTCGGACCATCCGTAAGGAAACTATAATTTGTACCAAAACAATATGCCCAGCGACCAAACCCATTAATTAATGGCTTGCATTCATGTCTACGTCATAAAATTATCATTTTCTTGCATGCGATGTTGCGTACTCGTATTTTGAGTTTGAAATTCGCACATGTGGTTGGTTAATTTTAATTAAAAGAATATGACTCATATGATTGGATTATGTAATTGTTTGTTTAATAAGATTTTCATATATATATATATATATATATATATATATATATATATTTAAAAGATTAACATTGATGGTATGGGATTATATTGGTAGTTAAAAGTGTCTGTGCATGATCATAAAAATGAAATATTTTTTCCTTAAAAATAAAGAACTAAGAGATGATTGTATAATGTTTTCGTTGATTTTTCCTGGCACTGATTTTATATGCTTTGATGTGCAAGTGGGTATGGGAATCATATGATAATTTAACTCGTAAACATGTTTACACATTGCTTGTGCCTGTTAGTCTCTTAAGGTTTCAGCAAGCTATTCCTCCCAATTTAGTTCGGACTTTTTTTATTTTTATTTTTATTCCTATTTTAACTCTGTAAAACAAATATACAGCAGGCAGAGTTCTCAAAATAACAATAATAATAAATAACAATAAAAATATTTTCTATTTAAATGAGTAAAATCATAGTTTTAAATTACGGATGACAAAAAAATAATCGTAATCATTATTATAAATTATAATTTATTATAATATTAAAATAATAATAACTAAATGCTTGGTAACAATAATTTTATGAGATAACGTTATATAAGGCAACCGATGTTATTTAAAACTTTACAGAGGACTGCCGAAATTTGGATACACAAAAAGTTATTATTGACAAACGGCCTCCCTTAAGCCCTACTTTGCACTGCCGCAACCAGTCACGGGTTCGAATTACGGCGGCATAGAGGATATCAATGGAGGGTCCACGGTCCAGGTTAGACAGGGGAATTGCTGCGTGACGCAAACTTGACGAAAAGATTACGATATTAGAAAAAATTTGTCAAACGACTGTCATGACCTTATAAATCCTCATTCACACATAATATTTAAAAATAAAAAATAAAAAACCTCAATTCCTTGTATGGACAATGAAGGTTGACTAGCTAGGTGATTGTTACGTCATTTTAGTGAAGGATAGAAGACTGATTTGAACTCTGTTATTTTGGATTGAATGAGTCTTAACCTACTGCATGCTAGTAATAATTGTAATTACATCTTTATCTAATCATTCTTGGTAATGCTAAATTGGTTTAGAATATAAGGAGAAATTATTCAATATGTTAAGTAGGATATTTTGATTATCTAAGTGTTTCGTTCTCTTGTAAAAAAAGAGAGTGCAATTCTTAATGTATCTAATTTTTCGTATATATGATAGCTTTAATTATAGTTTGAAATGAGAGCATTATACCGGCTCTGGTTGAAATAATGTAAAAAAAAGAAAAAAATACTGATGACATATAGATTTAGTTGGCACATCACACGCCACTTATGGTTGAAAAATATCAAGTGCAGAACGTGGCACTGTTGCGCACACAAGGTCATGAGCCCTTGGAGCCGTTAATCCAGGCCTTTCGGTCATATCAACAGGACCATTACCCTTAATTTTCACTCCATGCGGGTCAACCACATTCCACTCGAAACATTGGATCATAGCTGCCAAAGTTACATGCAATTCCAGCATAGCCAAAGCAATGCCAGGGCAGCTTCTTCTTCCAGTACCAAAAGGCAACAGCTGATAGTGTTGGCCTTTAACGTCCATTGAGGCAGTGACCGAATCCCCATTAGACTGTAGAAACCGTTCAGGTTCAAATTCCAATGGGTTTTTCCAGTACCTGGAATCTCTCCCAATTGACCAAGTGTTCACAAATAATAATGTGCTTTTGGGTATTGTGTACCCATTGATCTTACATTCTTGGGTGGATTTTCTTGCAACCATTGGAATTGGTGGGTGAAGCCTGAAAGTTTCCTTGACTATGGCCTGGATATAAGGCAGATTCAGAGAGTCTGATTCTTCTACCAGCCTCTTGTTTCCAATAACCGTGTCAATCTCTTGCCGCGCTTTCTCAAGTACCGTTGGATTGTTCATCAGCTCCGCTAGTGCCCATTCGGTTGCAGCTGCTGTTGTGTCCGTGGCAGCTGTTATGAAATCCTATTGAAAAAATGAGACATAAATCAGTAGCAAGATAAAAAAAAAAAGATGAACAGAGATTATTTCAAGTTACTGGCGTTTAGGGTTTTAATGGCTTACCAAAACCAAGGCTTTGATGTGCTCTCTAGTCAATTCCACCTCTGAATTTTTATCTTCCAAAGCATCAAGCATCATGTCCAAAAGATCTCTAGCCTGGTATTCTCCTCCACTTTTCTTTCTGTCTATCTCGCGGTTTGTGATAATTTTCTCCAACAACGCATCATACCTTCTATGGACATCCTCAAATTTCTTTCTATAACCCTGAAAGTCCAAGTTCCTGCAAAACCAAAAGAAATCTGAGACATTAAACTCTCCGAACATCTGTGTCACCTCTCGCACCAAAGTTCTAACACCTTCAGCCTCATTGTCAGTCCCTGAACACCTGAGACTCAATATAATTTGTGAAATTATGTTGCTTGATAAACTTAGCAACTCCTGAGTGACATTAACACTCTCACCAACGTTAGACTTGTCACGTATAACCTTAAGAAATTGGCGCAATTCTTTTCTTCGTACAGGAAGAAATTGGTTAAGTGCCCGGTTACCCAAGAACTCAAATGTGCTCAACTTTTTGATGAATCTCCAATAAGGTCCATAGGGTGCAAAGGCAAAAGAAGAGCTATACGTAAGGTGATCAATGGCTAAAGAATGCTTGCGGGAAGAGAAGGTAAGGTCATTTGCCTTGAGGAGTTCTTTAGCAAGCTCTGGTGTGGAAGCCACAACACAAGGGACAGAACCTAGGCGGAGATAGATTAAGGGACCATAACGAGAGCATAAATCACGAAAAGAATGGTGAATTAAGGGTCCAAGGAGATGGAAGTGACCAATGATTGGTAAAGGCATGGGACCTGGAGGAAGAGAGCCATGCCTTAGTCTATTTGTTAAGATGAAAAAAGTAAGCAAAAAAACAATAGCTAAACCAGCTATGAGCTCAAGACTCATGGGGTATAAACCAAAATGGAAGTGAAAACAAGTACCAAAAAATAGAAATTTGCTGTTTTTTTCTCAGATCTCTGGTCCTATGGATATATTTTGTGTTTCCGTATAGATCACTAATGCCTAGTTGATGTGTATATATAGTGCAAGTTGAAGCACGCAGTGCCAATAGATTTATTATCTTTTATCTTTTTTTCTGGTTTTTTTTTCTTTTTTGGGTTTCTTACTCACCCCATCGAAAAACATTTGGATGCATAAATTCGTTTGGCTGATTTGCATATACAAGGTGATATATATTACGCGGATTTGGTCCAGGCAAAAAGAAGATTGTTTTGAATTTGGACATTGATTCAATTTTTATTATTTATAAATAGTTAATTATAATTATTTTTAGTATTACCAGATTTAGCCTGATTTAGTTAGAAAAATAATTTAGTGATAGAACAAAAATTAAGCATATTATGATGCTGACTTAAAGTAAAAATAGTGAGATTAATCTCGTTTAGTAAAAAAATTAGTCTCAAAATACTCCACTAACTATAAATATACCAAAAAAAAAATTACTTTATTAATGAATTCAATAACATAATATATATATTAGTTAGGAACCGAACTGATCCACCTGAAAATAATTTTATTCCACCTGAAAATAAAAGCATTAAATTATAACATCTAACCAAAAAATAAAATAATTTTATATATTTTATTCCATCAATAATGCAAGGCTGGTAAAAAAACTAATTAATAATTTAAATTAGATTACACATGGCACTGGAAGATACTGAAACCTAAAAACAGATATTAGCTAGGGACCTAACTGATCCAACTGAAAATAAAAGCATTAAACTGTAACATCGTACCAAAAAATGGCTCGTGGCAACTTCAGGGCCGCTCGAGCTACCAAACTCCATCGTGATTATGTCAACAATGAGTAATAGTTTTGGTGCTGACTGCTGACCGACGGGGAGGAAGGTGAAGCCATTTGTAAATAACGGTAAGTAGCACCACCCCGTCTCCCAACATCACCAACTTAATTGAATTTTTGTTCTTACTTGCTTCTAGAAAGTTTCCACCATCCTCAATCATCAATCTTGTACGTCCATCTGATTTTAATAAATACGTAAATATTCTCTTAATTTCTTGGTACCACACCGTAAGTAGAGTGGTCGTTGTTTTATTTTTATAAATATACGGTGCTAATTAATTGTATGGTACCAAGCATGCATCGCCTGCATCGTGCGAATTAAGCAACCGCTTCTACATTTCATTTTTTTTTTTATGAGAAGAGACGGCAAAGCCATTTAGATCACAAACGGATCATTTAAAATAAAAAAGCAATTCCACAAATGTTATCTAATTAACATATGTTTTAGATAATAATATTCTTATTATGTAAAATTTATTATTTGAATTTATCATTTTTTATGAAAATTCTCATCCAATTAATATTTTTTAATAAAATATTATTTACAAATAAATATTTTTTTTTCATATTTTAATTTTAGAAGAAAATTTTAAAATAAATTGATATAATATATATAATATATTCTTAGAATTTTTAAATGATAGTTCCGCATTTATAAATATAAACTTATTTTAATCTAAAAGATTAAAAGTGTATTTCAAATAATTTGTCGTAATTAGTCCACTAAACATGATCAAAATATATAAAAAAAACTATTAAATCATCAGTTTTATTAAAAATCAATTATATATATTCATACATAACACCAACTATTTGTTGCATCAAACATAAAAATTATACATGATAGGAGCTTGTTTGATTTCGAAATTTGAATATCATGTCCAGATGTTACGTATCAAAAAATTAAAAGATTGGTGGGAAATATTATTTTGTTTTTCTTCTTTCTTTTCCTTTCCATTTCTAAACAACAGTTTCGAAAATGTCTGCAAAAATTATAAACGAACAGCAATTTCATTTTTCAAGCAAAGGAAAACAGATCTGTTCAAGTGGAGACGCGGGGAATCGAACCCCGTGCCTCTCGCATGCGAAGCGAGCGCTCTACCATATGAGCTACGTCCCCTTTGTATTTTCGGTTTCTTTAATTAGTTAATTGAACTTTTCCTCACACTAACTCCATCCATCAACTCACGTGACAAAACATCTTCAGATTTTGTATCTGTCATTACGCAACACAACATCAACATTAATTCTGAAGATGTTTTGTCACGTGAGTTGATGGATGGAGTTAGTGTGAGGAAAAGTTCAATTTGTGCGTTTTGTTAAGGTGTGATTATTTAAAATTTTGGCATCACTGTCAACAGAAAACAATGGATTTTTTTATTTGTGTTTAGGCCCAAAGGCCTCCAACTTAGCCTAAGAAAAAACATAAGCCCACCAATCTTTTAATTTGTTAAAAATTTAGAACTTAATTAATAACAGGGAAATACATTAGAATATAAATTGAAGTTAAAAAAATAAAAATAAAGAGTTCTACCGTTGTTTTACGGGTATATATTGTAATGGATCATCCAATATTCAGAGCCACGTTTCTTAATTTTACTAAATAAGCTAATCTATAGTTTTTCTCTAATTGTCACCGAAAGATTAAAATGAACAAGTTGAATAAACTTAAACCTTATCATAAAAACCCTTTCGCATATAATTTAAATACTTCAAATAAAAAAGGAAAAAATATAAATTTTTAGTACACTAATAGAAGATTTTAAAAAATAAAAAATTGACCAAAGTACATTTTAGAATCATCAATGTTTCACTTCTTTCCTCATAGTTTAAAACTTCCCAAAGTTTCTCATATAATTTCTTAAAAATTCCAATTCTACTCCTTGCTATTAAATAACTAAGAAAAAAGGTTTGTTTTTGCACATTTTATTTTTTTCTCTCATTTTCGTTTCTCATATAATTTGTAAAAAATTCCAATTCTATTCTTTGCTTTTAAATGACTAAGAAAGAGTTTGTTTTTTTTGCATATTTTCTTGTTTTCTCTCTCTCTCTCTCTTTTTTTTTCGGTTTCCGCCCAGATCCTATACATGCTATAGTTTCTGATCATAAAACTTTAGAAAAACTTACGAAAAAACAGAAAAACTAAACTAAAAGAAGTAGGCTATTTAGTGGTTAATGGTAACCTGAAACTATTTGGAAGGAAAATAGAAGGGTGACATTGAAACTTTTAAAAAATATAAGAGTAGAAGTGAAACATCTATGAGTCTATAGGGACAAAAATTGAAGTTTACCTTAATAATTGTTGATTTAATTCCATTGTCCCCACAAATGTTTTAAGTCAAATCAAACCATCTGATTACCCACACCCCACAATTATCAATATCAAATTCAGTTAGATTTAGCGATCCCATGAACTTGGATTTGGTGGGACCAAACTAACTCCACTCATGGGCTTAGACAATGTACAGATTTTAGCTGCATTTGCCAATTGCCATTGCACAGCATGAATTCTCAGGTGGATGTTTTGAAAAAAAATAAAATAATGATGATGCCTATTATTGAGGAAACAGAACCAAAAGGCAGGTGGCAACCCAACAACGTTGCAGTTCTGCAAATGTCACACATTCACAAATGTTTTTAATTTTAATTTTTTAATTTTTTAGGCTCTGATAAAAGCGAAAAAGAAGGGTCCATAGAATTGAAAACTTTTGGAACAATTTTTTGCCATTACATTCTTTTCTTTCAAATTATCAAATAAATTTCAAGCTTCTGTTTTTTTTTTTTTTTCCCCTTGTGAATATGACTTTTGGCAATGAAGGAAACATTTTGTTGGGCTTTAGGATTCAACAAGAAATCCCATTCGTTATTTCCCCTATTTATCACCATTGAGCATTGTTTTTCTGTTGTTTATGTTAACAAAGACAGCTTTTTTATTACTGTTCTGGGCTTATTTTTGATTTTCCTCAATTGGGGTTTCATTTTTTATCAAATAATTGACAATAATGGTGCAAATTTAGTGGTCTTGGGATTTGTTGTTGAGAAGGGAGGTGATAATGGGGAGGTTCCTAAGTGGATTTGTATTGCCTATGCTACTCTTGGCAGGTTAGCACATTCTATCCTCACGATCCCTTCTTTTTTAAGATAAATGTTGGTGAATCAGTCTGTCATGCCCATTTTGTAATTTTTTTTTCATGAAATTGAAGGTTTTGGTAGATATCTATTTATGTAATATTTGAATGGGAAATGTCATTCAAGTTTTGAAGTAGTTGTACGCATTGTACCGTATCTAGTGAAAAGTTTCAATTTGGAGAATTTTTCTTTTCCTGGGTTTGCCCCATGTGTAGTGGGGTCATAGCTTTGTGAGGTGGAAAACTGAATAGCAGGAAAAGTTTGAAACTTTTTGTTTCTATGGGATTTTGCAGTCTAACATGCTTGCTAGGTACTCAATTATTGTAATTTGTGATTTATTTTATACTCACGGCATCATCATTAGGTTCTACTGGGTAATTAACATTTTCGTTCTGCTTCAGCACTATATCCTTAATATGTTAATATGCCTAGTGCACCATGTCGACTTATTTATGTTCTTATGCATAGGCAAATAACCTTGTTTTTTTATTCATTCAGAAGAAACATTAGATCCGAGGAGATAGATGTTAGCGAATTTAGTAAATAAAGTAGCTATCCTGATACATTCAGCAAGAATTAGAATGCCATTAATCAGAGTAGAGATAAATGAAGTTTCCATCGCAGTGGGTTTACTCGTATCTTTACATTTTTCACTGATAGTGGATGAACTTGTCCTTGCCATATTTAAATATCTGCTGAAAGCAGAAGTAATTAGATGTCATCTGAAATCAAATGATTTTGAGTTACCTTGGAGTTAAAACAGAAGGCTTTATTATTAATACAAACTATAATTAGTTTTTTGTGATCAAACCTTTACTTGATGTCAAATGTGGTGAACGGACATGATAAGATTTTAGTTATCGTATTGCAGATATTTAAATCTGCCAATTGAATGGGGTTATAAGCATTTCTAATGGCATATTTTGTGTTTTATAAGTTTCATTGAGATTGAGTTTACATATCTATGGTGTTCTAATCTGCACCTGCTAAGAGGTTTGGTGGTGCTTAATGCAATTGTAATCTAACAGCTAAAACCTTTTCTCTCTTTTTCTTCTCTGTTCATCCAGCTGCCTTCTTCAATTGGAGTTTGATCTCTCTGGCTGATTTGTTAGCCTTTCTTTTCATTCAGCACAGTGCACCAAAAATCGGTAAGCAGTTGATGTTATAGTTGATGCCTCAATTATCTATGTTGCCTTGTTGTGTTCTACCAGATATGCATTCTGTTAGATAATTTATGTCCAACCCAAAAGTTTTAAGCGATTAGGTCTTCAGCTCCTTGACATTATACCCCCGGCCAATGCTTTCTTTCTAGTTAAGTTGAATGATATTTTTTAATTGTCACGATCTACTTTGGTTGAGTGTGATTGTTGATTGAGTAGGATGGTTACTGCTGACATGAAAAGTCAGAAAGGCATTTCTGTGTTGTTATTTTTGGTTTTAGCTAGTGTAATAGTATTGCTAGACATTGTTCTTGCTGCATCTTCTTCCTCTTGAATTTGCATTGAAAGACATCCTTGCACTCAACTTTTGAGGAGCATTAGTAAAGGAAACCTCGTATACGACTAGATTTGACTTAGTAGTTGACAAAATCATTCATACAGCTCCAGATTTTGAGAAGTGGCCTTGTGTGGCTGTTGGTCTGTCCATGCCAGGACAAAATGGTCATGCAAGCACGTCACCCACATATATGTAGAAGCTAATTCAATACTTCCACAAGTTAGTTCTTTTTTTTTTTTTTCATTTTATTTTAATATAACGGAAATTTATATTCATTTTAAATTAGAATATAGAATGATTTTAAAAAAAATCAAATTAAACTTAATTTTACATTTACTTTCATTTACAATCACATACAAATTAAATTATAAGAGAGTTTGGCCCCTCCCTCTGCATTTTTATCTTGTTCTGGGTGAAACTTTCTGTGAACTGTTTATTGGAGGCTTAGATACATGGGACTATGGGAGCATTAGTATATTTAGGTTTGCAAGCTAAAAGGTCCACCATTCACTTTGTGCACCTCGTTACGTGCTTTCTTGCATATGAAGTTGCCATTTTATTTAGTGAATTGACATGTTTCATATACACAGGTAGATTTCAATTTCTCTCTCAAATTGTATTTTGTTTCCTTATTGGCTAGTAGGTTTGCGATCCCGAAGTCGATCCCTTGGACCATGGTGTGCTCTTACCCTTTCGTCACTGGCTATTCTTTCAAATGCCATATTTCATACTATTTGGGTTATTAAGGGGGACGATTGGAGTGTTGCTGATGATCAGTGGGTCAAGTTGGTTGGTTTCCGAAGGTGAGGTCTGATGCGAAAAACATATGTTTATCATTTTCATTTTAGACATTCCTTCAATGCAGTTTCTTGAAGACACATGGTTACTTTCTAAAGCAAATACTCTTTAAATATTGACATGCTGTGGTTGCAGTGTTCAGTCTTGGGGGTCGCCATATCTACTGTATTTTTTGGTAGTCCAAGTATTGGTAGCTTTTGTCGCAGTAATTGAAATCCACAGGAGTAGATATGATCAGGATCTATGGAAAGGTTCTTGGTTGGGGCATCTGCATTCTCCAGAGATAACTATTGGTTTGTCATCATAAACTAAGCAATAAATTTTTCCTCTGCAGGATGTGTTCTGTCTTCTTTTTTTAATCACAACTATGAACTATTTTTCTGGCTAATAGTAAAATATGATCAATTTTCCTCTGCCGAATCTCCCTTTGATTTCCTATTTTATTTCATCCCTTGTGTAATTGGGTACCATACAGTCATTTTCCTGAGCAGCTTCTCTTGTCCAAAATCGAGATGTTAGTCTGAAGTGAATCCCTTTTCCTATTTTATTGAGTTGGCAGATGCATTGTATCTGAATCATTGAAACATTTGCAAGTTTCCATCCACCGACCAATCATAAAATCACTTTTAACTGCTCAGATGAATTTCTCCAACTATATTTTTTCACAATTAATTGGCTTGAGCATCGATTATTCTTCTTTTGTCAAATTATTATGCCCTCTGCTGTTGATTTTGGTTTATTTCTTTGGTCCTTGGAAGGTTCTCATCTCAGGGTTTTATGCTGCTTATTGTTGCCGGCTGTACAGTTGGTTGTGGGCATTAGCCACCCATCTTGGGCATCTTTACCGTTTTTCATTTGTAGCGGCATTGGACTCGTCAACTGGTCTCTAACAAGCAATTTTCTGGGCTTATTCCAGTAAGTATATTGTACTTCATACACTTCGTTGACTAACGTTGGTTGTTTTCTCTGAATGAATGAAATGTCAGCTTGACTGATTTACATTAATTTGTATGGGTTTGAAGGTGGTGGAGGTATCTTTTCTTGTATGCAGGCTTGAACATTTTCCTTCTGTATGTATACCAACTTCCCATCGAGGTTTCTGGGACGGTTCAATGGGTTGCTGGTTTCATTGGTCTCTATAAAATACCTGCACGACCAGAGCTGTCAGAAATTTGTTCTGGCCTTTCACTTTTACTTTTCTACATTATGGTGAGTGGATCTTGTTTCAAGTTTAGATAGATCTAAGCTGATTTAAATTCTGAAAATATACAAAAGTGGGCTAAGCTTGGTTTTTTTTATAATTTGACATTTTCTAAGATCTTTGAAAAAGGAAAGAGAAAACTAATCTCATCTAGGTACCAGTTCTAAACTAGTTAGAGCTGGTTACACACACACACACACATATATATAGGCCAAAAATTAAAATGGGATTATATTTGCCTGCTATGTTCCCCATAGATTGATATTGGTAAAGGCTGCAGCATACCCATTTCTTCTCAACTTAGAAGGAGAGAATCAATGAGGAACCATTTAAGAGGTCCTAAAAAAAAAAATGTGGTCTACCTGTTCTCCTTTAGGCAACTTCGTTCCCCCTCCCTAATGTATGATGTTTCTTTGGAGCAATATTATGTCCCGCATCATCAATGGCCCAGTTAGGACCACCAACCAAGTAGAAAAAAGATCACCTTCTTGCTATCAAACTGAAGTTGGCATTTCCATAATTTGAAGGCAAAACTCCTGCCCTCTTGAGATAAGCACGATATGATGCAAACGTGCCTAGCTCAACGGCTAGAAAACCGATTGACAAATTGATTCGAACTAGAAAGCCAAATCAGATCCAAAAGGATATAGACATTACACTCTAGATAGGTAGAAAGGAAGTGATAAGTCATTTGAATGTCACAAAAATATGATTAATTCTTAATAAGTTCTGAAATCAATGCTTCAGAGAGTGATAAATTTGATTGACTAAAAATTGAATAAATTTTAGTTAAAAGTTTTTACAAAATATAGCTAATGATGCTGCTGGAATCCGAAACAAACAAGAATAAAGGACCAATATTGGATCCAGCAAAAACATTAAACAAACATTAAATTTGGTCTCCTTGAAGACGGCAATGAGCTCGGAATTCAGCAAGGAATTAATTCTCCTTTGAATGAAGAACCAGCCATGAAGTTGTTGGATTAATTCGGTCAAACTGTATTTAATCATCCTTGGCCCACATAGCTTTTTAGTCTCGGCCCATATAGTAGCAATCTTAGCCCAATTGAAATTTGGACTTCAACTCTGGAATTAAATGACAGGTTAGCTTGGATACCAATCACTAAGCCCATTGAAAAGTCTTCAAGCCCATGGTCAGCTCCAAGAATCATATCATGATAGTAAAAGTACTTCTTACCTGAAACAGGTATCTTAGAAATTGAGACCTGACATAGATAGTGGAGGGATTGCAAAGAGCCTAGTTTGAAGGATGCCAAGGCAAGTATGGGAGGAGGCGGGGATGAGTTGCAGTTTATGTGGATATTGGGAAAATGAGTTTTATGATGAGTCTTTTGCTTCATGGTAGCAGTCTATCTGCTATTCTTCTCCTAGTGGCAGCTAGACACGAATGACCGCTATTGTTCAGTTAACTACCATTAGACACTACTGGTAGTTAACCTTAGAGGAATCAGCGAATATGCATGTTCCAGCACATTGGAATGCTCCCTCTGCCCTAATGTGACCGAAATCAAAGTGCCATTCCTGCATAGGGAAGGGGTGCCAAACTGGCAGGAGGCTGGCAGTACAGTTCAAATAAAAGCAGAGACATGTTTAGTGGGAGTATTCTAGCATTAGTTCATGCAAAGAGTCTATTAACATACATTTCCGTAACAGTTGATGAATGAAGCTGTTACAATCACTTCAGGTCATTTGATCATAATAGCTGATTGCTATGATCTAGACCGAGCTTACTGTAACTGCGGATTTGCAAGGCTGGAATTGTATGTGAATCATGTAGAAGCAGAATGCTAAAAAAACACCAAGTATATGCTACTTCGTATACTTCAAAAATTTAATTTTGCCCCATACAAAACAATTTCGCATTTCTTTATCTTGTTCATACGGGAGTGCTTCATTTCTTCATTCACAACATTCACTGGCATTCTTTCCATAACAGCTATCCTGGATTAGATGTGATCTGACAGAAATGAACTTCATCATGTCAACAAGAGAAAGCAATTTGAGTGAGCGATTGCTTCCCCTTAAGCATTCGTTTTTTATTTCTGAATCGAGGTAATTTGTTGTGCTGCTTTATGGTTATGATTTTCACTCTGCCTTCTTCTTTTGGCTAAATATCAGAGCTTTCCATTACGAAGAACTTATCTTTCTGTATGGTTTCAGCTTGAGTCGCTACCATCTCTCTGTTTTTTTTCATGTTACTTGCTGCCTTAATTTTTTCCTTTTCTTTGTATTCTTGTATAGATCTGGTGTAAGGAACACCAACGTATTGTTGAGGGGAGCAGTTTTCCGGACTTTTAGTGTGAACTTTTTTACTTACGGTTTTCCGGTAAGCTTTTGTCTTTAGCTCTTTTTTAATTTTTTTTCATCTTCTTTTCAGAAATAATTCATCTTGCAACCAATTTCTACTATTCTTTAGTCGTTTTTTCCCCCTTCTTAATTTATGGATTTCCTCTCCCTTGCCATTACTTTTGACATGTAACTAGTATATTTGTGATTATATGTCTTCTGTACTCAATTACCTTTTTGTACCGCCCATGACAGGTTTCTTTGCTTGCACTGTCATTTTGGAGTTTCCATTTTGCAAGTTTCTGCGCATTCGGACTACTTGCTTATGTTGGTTACATTCTATATGCATTCCCTTCGTTGTTCCACTTGCACAGGCTAAATGGCTTGTTGCTTGTTTTCATTCTCCTATGGGCTACTAGCACCTATATCTTCAATGTGGCATTTACAGTCCTAAATAAGAAAATGCGGAAGGTATTCTCTATTGAGTGCATATTTTATGTCTTGTTCACAATTATTATAAGAGTACTGTAGTAAGATCTTTTCAAACATGTTTTCAGGATATGGAAATTTGGGAAACCATTGGCTTATGGCATTACCCGATTCCAGGATTTTATCTTCTCGCACAATTTTGTCTTGGTGTCCTTGTTTCTTTGGTCAATCTGGTGAACAATTCTGTTTTCCTCTATTTGTCTGATGGGGATAGGGAGCTTTTAAATCAGGATTTTGCAGTAGAAGGTGAGAATTAAAATATTCTTCCTGGACTATTTGCTCCAGTTTAGTTGATTTCTGTAGCCGCATTGATTGCCTCTTTCTGGACTGATTTGATTCTTTTATAACTCGTTTTTCCTTTTCAGTTGACATTGTTTCTTACTGGTGCCACAGGGGCCCAAAATAATAATAGTTAGAAGAAAACAGTTGTAGTAACTGTTTCACACTTTAAAATAATTAAAGTCACGAGGGACAAAAAACAACGTAAAAGGATCCAGTGAAAAAACATAAGCATTTTGTGTTATTCACTCTTTGAAATTTTAATGTCCTGTTATTATATCATTTGGTAGATTGTTGGAGTGATTACTTTTGTTAGGCTAGGGTGTCGAAGTCATCTCTAGTTTCTCTTCCACATCCTGAGGTTGAAGGACTGTCCATGTAATACAACTTGCCTGACATTTATTTATTTTTCATTTTTCAAACATCATTGTCATGTAGCACCATGCTAAGAAAGAATTCTAGAGAACTTTTTGTGGACTAGGAGCATTTCCTCTCTTTCTTGGTCACCCTTTCTGTAGTTATACTGACACACCTTAGGCCACAAACGTCATAAGTCATGGAAGTTGAAATAGGGTAAGAGCCTAGCATGCAGATGTGTTCCCTTGATTCTGTCTTTTTTCACAGTTGATTGCATTTAGGGACATAAATTTTATAAATCTCTTTTTAATGATTTACATCTTTCAGTTTAGTTATTCTTGGAAGTAGCTGTAGTTGTGCCCCATATTTTCACTAGCTTTTACATTTCAGAGAGTGAAGAAACCAAAGTATTGATTGTTGCTGCAATAGCGTGGGGACTGCGCAAAAGCTCTCGTGCTATAGCACTGGTGCTGATATTTCTTATTGCATTGAAACCGGCTGGCTTCATTCATTCTGTATATAGTAAGTTGAAGTAATGTTTTTTATCAATCTGTATTCATGTAGATTCATCATTCACACAACACTAAAAACATTCCGGCATGAGTGTAAGATTCTTGAGTCCATCCAACTGTTTTGGCAATATTTTTCATATTCTTCTAGATACTTCATTGCATCCTTTTATACCTTATCAATTTCAACAGGCAATGCTCTAACTCCTGCCAATTTCTGCTTTGTGAATCAGTGATTTTCATTTTGATATACCTGTTAAGCCACTCAATCAGTAGCAAGATACGCCAATCCCTGGTTCTTCTGTGCGAGATACATTTCGCACTGTTGTACATTCTTCAGCTTAATCTGATATCAGAAGTATTGAAACAGAGATGCTCATTTACTATGGAACTTCTCTCACAATTAGGTAAACAGTAAACTTTATATTAGATGGATATTTGGGCTCCTTAACTTAGTGTATTTGTATTTCCTCCCTTCTGAGTGCAGACAACCATGTTTTTATTTGTTGATGCAATCAATAAATATCTCATCTTTCAAAATTTGCTGTAGGTTTTCTTAGTCAAACTACTTCTGGGGATTTCTTGAAGATAGCAGCGCTTGCATGCGTTTGTGCCATCCATAATCATGGTTTTGAAATGCTGTCCTCCTTTTCAGCAGTTATGCAGAATACTCCTTGCCCTCCATTTGGGTTTAGCACCTTGAGAGCTGGTTTGGTCAAATCAGTTCTATTATCAATTTATACGTCTAGATCCAGACAGAGCCATGACAATAACTCTTCTGATGGTATGATTCATCCATTGTTAGAATGATTTTAAAGATGGTTTTGGTTTTATTTTTCTCTATTAACATTCTAAAATGTGCAAGTGTTTCTGATAATGGCTACCATCAATATTTACTGATGAGAAGGTTCTTAAAACTGAGTCAGACCATCTATATAAATAAAAAGTACTTTGAAATTTAAGATCACAAATGACATATGGATTGGGATTAACCATCCACCATGCTGTATCCTGAAGTTTAATTAGGAAATGCCTAGAATTAATGAAATATGTTGGTCAGTTTCCCCAATAATTCAAATTGAGGTTAGTGAATGGAGATGTAAATAAAGGTGCTATGCAAGTGAAATATACTAACTCATGAGTTAATGGTGCCAGGTGATAACAGAGGAAACTTTCAGGAATTAACAATGTTATAATAATAGAACATCATCATGCTGTATAGAGAATTTAAAGAGACTTAAAATTCTCATGCTTTAAGAATAGAACATTTTATTTTGTTATGAATGATTGAGAAGTTTATCGATCAATATGGTAGTTGGAAATTTGGAATAATAAAATGCAAATTATTGCTAATATCCTTTGTTCGTATATGAATGTGGTCAAAACTTTCAGAATTGGTATGCCAATTTGGCGTACACTGGAATGGGTTTTTGGCTTTTCACGACGGGAAATGAAATTGGGTTTGTTGGACAAACTCATTTTATAGGTAGATAGATGGACCTGATATTTTCGTATGATTTATGGAGAGCCTTTTTAGGTTGATGTTAGTATATAAATTAGCATCAGCACCTCTGAATAATATAGTGAGTTTGCGTTGTAAAGATTGTTGCTATACCTTTTCTGTTTATTTTACCATGGTGCCTTAACTTTTAGCACTTATAACACGATCCTGTTCAACCATATCTTGTAATGCCTCTGTTGTGAAAACTCTTATCAGTTTTTTAATAGTTACTTTTCCATGACAGACATGATACACCAAGTCATTCAGATGATGACTTAACTTTAATATCTTTTTCTTGATCTTCAGAGAAAAAGATAGCATCATTTCTCAGTGCAATTGGACAAAAGTTTCTTTCAGTATATCGATCATGTGGAACCTCCATTGCCTTTCTGACAATTCTTCTTACTGTGTACCAAGTAAGGCCTAATTTTATTTCCTTTGGTTACCTGTTCTTCCTTCTACTATGGGTGATTGGAAGACAACTTGCGGGGAAGACAAAAAAGCGCCTTTGGTTACCTCTGAAAGTTTATGCAGTTGTGGTGTTTATTCTCATTTATGGCTTGAGTGTCTTCTCCAGTTTTCGGACATTGTTGTCCAGGATGGTTGATGTTTCTTTTGCCTTTGCATATAAACCAGAAGCTTCCATTTTTGGAAATATTTGGGAGTCCCTTGCTGTATTGATTGTGATGCAACTTTATAGTTATGAGAGGAGGGAAAGCAAGAATTCACAATCACATTACGTTGATGCACCAAAAAAATGTTCCCTTAATTTTATGAAACGTCTTCTAATCTTGCACAGCGAGAAGATACTAAGTCTTGCCCTTTTTTATGCATCTCTATCCCCTATAAGTGCGTTTGGTTTTCTATATCTTGTTGGCTTGGTTGCTTGTTCAACTTTACCCAAGTCTTCTAGGATCCCTTCAAAACTGTTTGTTGCTTATTCAGGACTTCTTGTGATGATTGAGTATCTTTTCCAGTTATTGAATGACCAGGCTAAACTGTTCTCTGGTCAAAAGCAGTCTTCTCTGTTTCTTTTTCTTGGATTGCGGCTCTACAAGCCTGGTTTCTGGGGTCTAGAATCAGGCTTGAGAGGAAAGGTTTTGGTTATTATTTCATGCATACTTCAGTACAATGTCTTCCGTTGGTTGGAAATGAGGTCATGCGATTCTGGAAATGTTGGAAAAGGGAACAAGCCTTGTGCTTTGTTTGGCACATCAGAAGAGGTCCCAAGTGAAACAACAATTCTAAACCCAGAAAGTAAACTATCAACAACTACCAGCCCACTGTTAGAAAAAAGAAAAGAAGCAAGACGCAACTCATGGCCATCTCTTAGCACTTCTGTATCTCAGGGGCCAGATCCAACATCCTATGAAACAGGAGGCTTTGAAAGCTATAACACACAAAAATATTTATGGATCTCTGAAACTTCCAGAGGTGGCCATAAGTGGAACAGAAAGCGGATTCGCGTCTTGAGAAAAGAGAGGCTTCACATGCAGACCACCACTTTTAAAGTGTTTGTGAAGTTTTGGATAGAGAATATGTTCAATCTCTATGGTCTTGAGATTAACATGATTGCATTACTTCTTGCCAGCTTTTCCGTGCTAAATTTCGTCTCTTTGCTCTATGTAGCATCACTTGCTACTTGCATTCTGTTACCTCGGCGTGTCATACAAAAACTGTGGCCCAAATTTGTGCTCTTATTTGGTTCTGTTACAACCCTTGAGTACTTGGCAAGTTGGCAGACATCTTGGAAGCAACATGCCCTGGGTGATGCGCCGGTGCCTTGCAATGACTGTTGGAGAAGCTCTGATATTTACTTCAACCACTGCAAGAAATGCTGGTTAGGTATCCCATTCCAGAAACTTATTACATGTTTACATATCATTCTATCTTTTCTCACATTACTGCATTTAAATACTGTGCATTCCGAGGGTTTCACTTTTAGCAAGTCAATCTTCTTTTCCGGTTTGTATGAAAGGGTAGTAAATTCCTTTTCCACTTAAGTTTTCAAAAAATTTCAATGAGCAGTTAGAGGCTTCTAACAGTGTCCTATTTATTTAATTGTCTACATAGACATTTAGCTGGGATGCTTTGTTTTGGACTTGTCTGTCCATGGCCAATTTAGACTGACAATGTATTCATGTATAGTAACTTTGTTTGTACTTTTTTCCTGTCACTTTCTTTCTGGCTTTTAATCTAAACATATCGATTCTCATAAAAAAAGTTACATATTCATGTATATAACTCCGCGCCATTAAATCTGTTCCTTGGGAAACAATTCAGGATTCTGTTTTTCTTGCCTCATGTTTAAAGAACTAAGCCTATTTTACTCTTTCACATTTAAGCTACAGATTGTTTGTTTGTTGATATCAACTTAATGTTGGGCAGTCTCCTCCCATATTGGCCTTTTTTTTTTCTTTTTACAATTCATCAGTTCATCATCTGTTATGTAACCTTGAAACGCTTTACAGCATCAGCTAATGTCTTTAAAAGCCAAAAAAGGGAAATGTATCATTTGCGTTCCATGTCCTTCAGAGGAATACATAAAACTTACCTCCTTCCACGGAGTAGATCTTATGGCTAAACCATGCACAATCTCTTCAATTCCATCTTCTCCTTTTACACTTTCACACAGATATATATATATATATATATATATGGATATATCCCTATTGAGCCATCTCTTCCAGATGTTAAACTTCAGAAACCTCGTGCTTTTTTTCAGGAATCTTGGTCGATGATCCTCGAATGCTTATCAGCTATTATCTAGTTTTCATGCTTTCATGTTTCAAATTTCGTGCTGACCGCTTGTCCAGTCTCTCAGCTTCAGAGACATACCAGAAAATGATGTCCCTTTACAAGCATTCATCACTGAGTGATCTCTCTTTTGAAACAAAATGCTTTTGGACAATTCTTGATTACCTAAGGCTTTATAGTTATTGCCACTTGCTAGATCTTGTTCTTTCTTTGATTTTAATCACAGGAACACTTGAATTTGACATTCTGCACCTTGGATATCTTGGTTTTGCTCTGGTTTTTTTTCGTATGAGGCTTGAAATACTGCAGAGGAAGAATGAAATCTTCAAGTTCTTGCGGATGTACAACTTGGCTCTTATTGTCCTTTCTCTTGCGTATCAATCCCCGTTTGTTGGGGACTTTTGCGAGGGGGATTGTGAAACAATAGATTACATAAGTGAGGTGGTTGGATTTCATAAATATGATTATGGGTTCCGAATTACTTCAAGATCTGCCCTTGTTGAGATTATCATATTTATGCTGGTAGCATTACAGTCATATATGTTTTCAGCCCAGGATTTTGACCACGTATCAAGGTATCTTGAAGCAGAGCAGATTGACACCATAATAAATGAGCAAGAAAAGCGGGCTGCGTGGAAAACTGCACAATTACACCAGATACGTAAATCCGAAGAGCAAAAGCGGTTGCGTAATTTGCAAGTGGAAAAGATGAAATCGGAGATGCTTAACCTTCGAACCCAACTTCACAGTATAAATACCTCCGCAAATCGTGGTGACACTTCTCAAAATGAAGGCATTAGACGGAGGAGAAACAGTTCTCTAAATACAGATGCAGCTAATAGCATCCCGGAGAAGATGGAAATTGATTTTAAGAAGCAGCCTGTTGACATAAGTTCTGATCTAATATTTTCTTTTGATATTGACGAGTCTCCTAGAAGTGAAAGAATTGGAAGGTTGTTTGCAGTGAACTCCAGAAATAATTCAATGGATTTTTTTAGTGAGACCATTGAGTTAAATAATAGTGCTGCTAGTTGTGAGTTCTTGGATTCACGTAGAAGAGATGAAGCAAGGTTCCAAGCGAAGAGAAACCCACTAATCTCAGTAAAACATCTATTCAGTGATGGTGTTTCTCAAGCAAAATCTCTTGGTAAGATGGCGGTCACCAACCTTGTGACTTTCTTTAACATAAAACACGAAGAACCTGATTTAAGTGACGATTCCTCTGATGGAGATGTATACTATGAGATAGAGAATCAGAATATAGGGGGTGAGCCTATTGAACGGACATTTTCCACCCAATCTGACAGTGTGCAGACCACTTCTGCATACCTGCAAATTCGAATGATCCTCTTTTACATGTGGGCCCAAATGCGATCAAACAATGATGTTGTCTGTTACTGTTACTTCGTCCTAATGTTTCTATGGAACTTCAGTTTGTTGTCAATGGTTTATCCAGCTGCTCTCTTCTTGTATGCACTTTGTGTAAATACTGGGCCACACAGCATGTTCTGGTTCATTATGTTGATCTACACTGAGATGTGCATATTGGTTCAGTACCTATATCAAATCATCATCCAACATTGTGGGTTCACCTTAAGCATTAGTTTGCTTCAGGAATTAGGATTCCCTGCGCATAAGATCTTGTCATCTTTTGTAATCAGCAACTTGCCTCTTTTTTTGGTCTATTTATTTACTCTCCTACAAACCTCCATAACTGCAAGAGACAGAACAGTTACTGATGCCCGCTCTCGAAAGAGAAGAAACAATTTCCAGGAAGTGGTTGTTCAGGGTTACACGGCGAGAGTACAAGCACTGCTTTTGTCTGCTAAAAATGTTATGAAACTGTTGATTAGAAGTCTGTTCAGGTACTGGAAATCTCTCACACAGGGAGCAGAAACTCCACCGTACTTTGTACAGCTGTCCATGAAAGTTGATTTGTGGCCTGAGGATGGCATTCAACCAGAGAGGATCAAGTCAGGAATAAATAAGCTCCTCAAGGTCATGCATGATAAAAGATGCCAGGAGAAAGATCATTTGCACTCAGTCAGCGACGTCCGTGTTCAAAGCATTGAAAGAAGTCCTGAAAATGATAATGTCGCTCTGGCTGTTTTTGAGGTGTTATGTGCCTCTCCCTTGAAAGGATGCACCAATGTAGATCTTTACAAATCACTAACTCCAGCAGCTGATGTAGCCTATGAGATTCTAGAAGCTCAGCGTGCCGGTGTTGTCAAGGAAATAAGGTTTCCTTATCCAATACTATCAGTGATTGGTGGAGGGAAAAAGGATATTGATCTTTACGCCTATATATTTTGTGCTGATTTGGCTGTTTTCTTCTTGGTAGCCATGTTCTACCAATCAGTCATAAAAAACAACAGTGAATTCCTTGAAGTTTATCAGCTTGAAGACCAATTTCCGAAAGAGTTTGTTTTTATCTTAATGGTAAACCTCTTTCCGTTTCAGGCATTGTTGATATTGCATTGGAATCCCAAGTTACTGTTTTATCAATTCTCCATGTAGATTCAAAGGTTGGAAAGCTAGAGTAGCTCCATTGTACACGGGCACACACACATATTTGGAATTTATATGTGCATTCACTTTTGGAACTATCAACAGAACCAACTGAACCAATGACATCCATTATTCTCATATTTTTTGTGAAAGACTGACGATTTTTGAAAGTTTCTAGGAGAGAATATTTTATTCAACTGTACATTGACGTAAGACTGTACATATATATAGGGAGAGATCTTTTACTGATCTGCTTCTTTAGGAAAAAACATATAAATATCTAAATTATAGTGACAGCTACTATTTAGGAGATTAATTCCAAATACTTAGGAGACTAATGATCTACTTCCTAAAATAGAATGATTTCCAGAATAGGCTAATCATACAAGACTAACGATTTTCATTATTGGCAGATTAAGTTTCTGTAATAGCCCCAGGCACTTAACTCAGTTCGTTTTAATAAATGAACATATGCTGTTTCTGAAGTGCTTTCATGGCATAAACTTCAATCTGTAATTTATTTATTATTTTCCCAAGTATTTTTCTAGCTGTTCTTTAATTAAGTGAAAGGGGAGCTTTCATACTGTGAGCAGACCAGGCAGTGTGAATTCAATTTCTTGCGATTTTTCTCTTATGGATCTTTGGTGCCAATATGTTTTTTTCTGAAGGAGATCAACTCGTTTCTTATTGCAGGTTATTTTTTTCTTGATTGTGCTTGATCGTGTAATATACCTCTGTTCATTTGCCACGGGAAAAGTCCTCTTTTATCTTTTCAATCTTGCCCTCTTCACATACTCGGTGACAGAGTATGCTTGGTACAAGGAGCCACAACATAGACATGCTGGAAGATTAGCACTCCGTGCTATTTATTTCACAAAGGCAATTTCTCTCGCTCTTCAGGCAATACAAATACGATTTGGAGTTCCACATGAAAGCACTTTGTATAGACAGTTTTTGACAAGTAGTATCTCACAAATCAACTATATGGGCTTCCGAGTTTATCGTGCTCTGCCATTCCTTTATGAATTACGATGTGTGCTTGATTGGTCATGCACGACTACATCTTTGACCATGTATGACTGGTTGAAGGTATGTCACTTGCAATCGATTTTTTACTATGTTCATCGTCACAGCTTCATTGTCATCACTGGGAAATTTCACAGACGCTATACATAATGCACATCCAAACACGTCTTTTTTGAAGATTGCTGACTGATATCATTTTCACTTACTATCCAAATAATTGGAATTGGGAATGGTGCCTGGATTCCAGCTATTCACTGTAGTTTTCTTCATTTTCTCCTTCCATGTGCATGAGAATACTTTGTACAAAATATATCTTCCTGGTAAAAGGTCTGACAAATGGACACCCTCCTTAGATTTCCAAAATCACACATTTCCCATTGTCTGCCTTTCTGATTTTCTGGAAAAGAGAACAATTCCTAGTTTAAGAATATGTCAATATACTGACACGGATGATATCATATATTTACGCATACACGTATTCATTTATATATAGATCTATCCAATGGAACTTATAAAAACCACAGCATTTCCTGAACATATTCAATTTTTTATCATGATGGTTGTCTGCACCCAATTTCCCCCTTTCTCCTATTCATAACGTTATGTAATATGGATGCAGAAACTTCCTTGTTATTGTCCTATCTTCTTATTTTTGTACTATCCGCTTTTATACACTTCCCTTTATATGCTTCTCAAATTAGTTCCACTATTTATGTTTGCAAGCACCTGATTGCACTGTATTTAAAGTGGCTCGTATATCATGTCTTCTCATAATGGGCCATAAGAATTTATTAACTTAATGCTTCAATGGCACTTGCTTGTGATTTGAATGTGTATCTGTATCACTGCCTACACTACTATGGGTGTCATGGTTTACTTGGCTGCTGTTGTTTTATTTTTATTATCATATTTGTCATTTGTGCACATAAGCTATGTGTTTTTTCCCCCCTCTAAATCTGATTTTTGCTCTTTGTTTTTAGTTAGAAGATATTCACGCAAGCTTGTTTCTTGTCAAATGTGATGCGAATCTGAATAGAGCAAAACACCGACAAGGAGAAAGGCAACCGAAATGGACAAAATTCTGCAATGGGATATGCTTATTTTTTGTATTGCTGTGTGTTATATGGGCTCCGATGTTGGTAAGAATCTTAAATGCTTTCTGGTTTCCGAAGTCTTTGTGACAGTCTAAGCATAGCATATCTTGTAATGTGTTATCTCTGTAAAACAAATAATTGAAACAAAAGGTTCTGTACTTCAGTAAAATCATGTACTTGTAAAGGATGAAATTTATTACCTGGCTATATTAGATAACTTTTGGAGAACTAATGCTCTTTAAATTTTGAAAAGGGAGCATTTTGATTAGAAAACAGACAAAAAAAAAAAAAGAAGAAGATACCAAAAGCATAACTCCATTGCAGATGCAATGTACCTGGGAAATACCAAAGTAAGAATGAACAAACATATTTTAAATTTTTTTAGAAATAGCCAGAAATATCAAAGATGCAGTATACCTGGAAATTGGCCTTAGTTGGAAGAAGATTAAGACAATAAGTACCAACTGACAATATAAGTTGCCAACGATGACTTTAGGTCTAAACTATATGTGGTTGTTTTTATGAATTCTGAAGAATACATTTCCTGTGCAGATGTACAGCAGTGGTAACCCCACTAACATTGCTAACCCTATCAAAGATGCAAGCATTCACATTGATATAAAGACACTTAGTGGAAGGCTTACACTATTTGAGACAACTTTATGTGAAAAGATCTCGTGGGATGAAATTAATTCACATGATGATTTGGATCCTCAAGGCTATTTAAGCACATATAACGAGAAAGACATCCAACTCATATGCTGCCAAGCTGATGCTAGCACGTTGTGGCATGTCCCCCCTGTGGTCCAGGCCAGATATATGAGATCTCTTAGGTCGAGCATGGATATCATCTTTTCTTGGCAATTAACCAGGGATAGGCCTAAAGGAAAGGAAGTCGTGAGATACGAATTGATTGTTCAAGATGAGGACCTTCCAACATATTCACAAGTAATGGAAGTGCTAAATGGCACTACCAATAACTTCACAATATTTAATGTTTATCCAAGATACTTTCGTGTCACTGGATCTGGTGAAGTTCGGTTGCTTGTACAGTCGGTATGTCTGTTTTTTCATTTTGCCAACCTGATGTCCATTGACACTTATATCAGCTGTGATAAAATAATAATAATAATAATTGTTGAAAATAGTAGTCAACATTTTATGTACACAGGTAGATCTTGTCAGTGGGGATCTTGTTCTTAATCGTGGGAATCCAGAATGGTGGTCTTTCCATGATATTGATTTGTCATCTGGATGTGGCCAGTTTGGAGGACCTATGGCTATTATTGTATCTGAGGAAACGCCACGTGAGTACTTAATTAGAGTGTGATCACCACAACTTTTATATTCTGCATTTGATTGTAGGAGTGCCACCAGTCCTTAAAAAATTGACCTGAATTCTGATGCTTCTTCAGAGGGCATTCTTGGTGAAACACTAAGCAAGTTCAGTATATGGGGTCTCTACATTACCTTTGTGCTTGCAGTTGGCCGGTTTATCAGACTGCAGTGCGCTGACCTGAGAATGAGAATACCATTCGAGAATCTTCCTTCATGTGACAGGTAAGCCAGCTTTGCAACGGTTGTGGACATTGGTTCTTTCCACCCTCTAGATACTGTAACCTTGTGAACGTAGTGTTTTTCTTATAACAAATAAAATCCATACGAGTTGTGCATGCTCTAACCCTTTCCAAGAATCATATTACATGCGCTGTCCTGGGTGTTGTATCAGGTTGATGGCGATATGCGAGGATATTTATGCTGCAAGAGCAGAGGGTGAGCTTGAAGTCGAGGAGGTTCTTTATTGGACACTGGTGAAAATTTATCGGTCTCCGCATATGTTGCTTGAATACACCAATCCTGACTAGGTCTTCAAAAGGTGCAATATCTAGTCACCTGCAGCCATGCCAAGCAGAATGCTGAAATTTAACCCTCACTTGACTGGGAGACCGGGAAAAATCTCTCCAAATGAAATTGCTGATGGGATTTTGATTCATCTTGCAATGCTGCTGGCCTATCAATCAAATGGAAGGAACTCGCTGACGTTTTATAGCCTTTTTCCTTTATCTGGAGGATTTCCCATGTTTTGATACGAAGGTTGTTGAGCAACCAAAGATAGGAGCCAATGTAGGACCTTGTAAATCGAGTTAGGCTTCATGCAACTCATCTATTTTCTTGACAACGGAAATTGAAAACTTTGAATTCATAGTCCAGTAAATTGTATGTAACTATTTTCTATCTTTCTGAAATGATGAGTTTCATTTTATGGGACTGAATTTTTACTGCACGAATTTAGTGTTCTGTATTGAATCTTCACCATCACCATTGTCCTATCCTATTACATTTACCTCAATTGACAGAACTTTCCTTAGTCAGGTCTCCCATTGACGTGCTTCTTCTTGTCAGCATATCTTTTTGTGTTTGTTGAAAATGTTGGGTAATCTCGTAACAACGAAACAAAGAGCGATCATGATGCCAAAATCTTTTAGAAGACTGCTTGGTTCAATAAAATAATTTTCAGATTTTTCACCCAAAGAAATAACTAATTTATATAAGATAAAGAAGTTGAGGTGAACGATAAGTCGATATGTCCGAGTGGTTAAGGAGACAGACTTGAAATCTGTTGGGCTTCGCCCGCGCAGGTTCGAACCCTGCTGTCGACGATTATTATTATTATTTTTTTATATGATTGCTAAACTAGGCCCAGATAAGTATCAGAAAACGCCCAAAACGCACACAAGCAGGCCCAAAGGAAAATGCTCTGCGAGCAAAAGCGCGCTCGTCCTTTCTGCTGAGACCATTGATCCACGCGCCGCCACAAATGAGTGTGCGTGTCATATCCTGGAGAAGAATTTGCGGCTGAATTTAAATTGTTTGTTTATTTTTCATGTTTTCTTAGACTTATGTGTGTGTCAGTTGTTGAAAGTCTCTTTCTATAACTTTTCTTTTATAGTTTGACTTGTGATCATATGACCTCAACTAGCTTATGCATGATCATGTCCATTACCACATTAATTTGTCTACAATTCAAAGTCTCCACTCCATTGACAAATTGTATCCCTAATCAAAATCAAAGCAATTATTGCCCCATGTCCTAGCTCCACCAAGAATCTCGTGATCTCCTAACACCACTTTGAGATTGACATCAAACTAATTAATGACGACCAAATATCATAAATGCAAGTACATCCAATTTGCATTAAAACTAGAATTTGGGTTTTGGGTCATTTTGTCCATTGTAAATTGGTTTGGTGTCGGCATTAATATATATATATTTGTCCTTTTCCACTTGGCTTTTTATTAATATGGTCCCTCCATTAAATTTTCTTATTAAATTCATCCCTTGCATACAATTAGTCCCATTGTTATTAGAATGAATTAACTCTTACGTTTAATGGCTAAAAGAGTCTAATCACTTCTAAACTTTAAGTAATTTTAGGTTGAGTTCCTAAACTTTTTTATTAGTTTTGAAAATTCCTAAAATTTTAATTTTTTTAGATTTAGCTTATTTTTTAGTTTTCTATCATTTATCTCAAAAAATAACAATTACATAAAAAAATTTATGACGAAAACATTCAGTAATATTTATATGGTGCTCCTAAAAAAACATTAAGATCATTTTGGAGTTATTTTCTATTTTTTTATAGTTTTAATATTCAAAAAATAAACAAACCTAGTTTTAGTTTTGAAAAAATTTAAATTTTTTCCACAAAATGGATTGAATTTTTTTCATCGTGTGTGCAAAATTTCAGCTCAAAATGCTAAGAATTAAATTTTTTAGAGGGGACGATGTTAGATGAAAGTTATTGGATGGATTAAATCTCAAAAAATTAAAATTTTAAAGATCTACAAAAACAATAAAAAAAAAAATTCAAGAACTCAATCTCAAATGAGTTAAAGTTCAAGAGTAATTAGACTTTTTTAGCCACGTTTAATTTACATATAGAGACACAAAATTAATTTTGGTAGAAGACATCACTCTCTGTATTTAGTGCTATATAACAAAAGAGGTTTCTCCACTAATATCTTTGAAATTTTTCAAAAATATTGGTTTTACAATGTATTTTCTAGAACATTTATTCCTTTGGAATTCCCAAGGGATTTTATTTTTTCCAAAATAAATTTGTTATCCAAGTTAAGTCCAGCACTTCTCATGCTAGTAGCGTGAGAACATGTTTAATTTTTAGTTGACTACTAAATTGTCTTTAGTATACCACTAAATGATAATTATGATTAATTATCTATGAATAATAAAAATTAAATATTAGTCTTCATCGAATCAAAAAATCTTCTTACCACTAGAACACATCACTTCCATAGTACAATATGAATGAATAATTTTATATGTAAACAATTAAATTCTGTTTAGATTCAATTATATAAACTAACACTCAATATGTACATGTATATTTTGAAACAACTGTACCTTCTAGTGGTATACCAGAGACAATTCAAAATGATAGGCAAAGTCAATGTTGTTCTTCGTTGAAACTTAGACCAATAGCTGAGTTTAATTCGTGAGCTGATGCCATTGAATAAATATACACGCATTTTCCAGAAAGATGCTTCAACATCTCCTCATGTCCAGCTAATTAATTCTAGTTTTCGGCTTCTTCAGCGTTATTAGGAAGTTTGATTACGCCGCATAGAGAGGGTAATAAATGCGCCGACGATATAAATTTCAAGAGGATAATAAATGCACCGATAGTTAGCTAATTATATATATATACACATTATTCAAGTATCTTCATATTATGCATTAAAATAAAATTAATTTTATTCGATAAAAAAAAAGATAAGATTTATTTTTTTCTAACGAGTAAAACTTTATTATTTGAATAGTAAATATTAATAGAAAATTCGTTATGACTTGAATAATGAATATTGACAAAAAAATTCCTTTAAAAATCAGTTCTTTATCAACTTATTGGTAATTATGTTATTTTGTGTTTCACGTTTTTCAATTATTTCATGAAAATTTAAAATCCATGTGAATCAAACTATAACCAAAACTACTAAATATGGAGAAATAAGTGATAATTCTCTTTTCTCTCTCTCCCCCTCCTGATACATGCAGTGCTCTTTCAATTGCTGTCAAGCCCAAGATCCCTCCACTATCTACTCCTTCAAATTTGGTTGGGACACATCGAGCATTTCTTCCAGCAGACAAGCCTAATACTCTCCGGCCGATAAATTGGAAAACAACAAAATTACAAGTCCAGAAGGACACAAAAAAATTAATTACACACATCATATGGAGACCCTTGTTGTCTCTTTTTAACATTTTCACGTGACCATTCTAACTTCACCTTGTTGGCACACATTGTTGGCTCCAGACGTTGTTATGGTGGTGGTGGCGGTGGCCGTGGTAATCATGGTGGTGAGCCACCAGTTCGTGACACCTTATTCTTAACCCTTCTCCATTCACTCTCAATCCCCATTCCCCTACACTCTCTTCTTCGTTGTTTTCTTTAACCTTCTCCTCCTCCTTTTCTCCTTCCTTTTCTTCCTCCAAAAATTCTTGTTCTAGTTCACATTCTTCTTCATCAACTTCAGATTCTTCATCTGCAATAAGATGTAGTCGCAACCTTCCATCTTGTCGCGAAGCACGTAAAATCTCATGCCTATCAATCCTAACCTCTGTCAATTCAAGCCTACCATCTTTTCTGACTGACTTGAGGAAAAAATTGGGTTGACCATTTTGGTTCAAAGAGGAAATAGGTGGTGGAAACTTCTTTGTCTCCTTTTTCTCACCAACTTTTCTCCATTTAAACTTGGTTATTGTTGTTCTTTCCCTTGAACATAACTCAATCTCATCATCAACCCTTCTCTCATCACAGCTCTCAAACCCCAGACTCTCAGTGCAAGACATCAAACCATCAACACCACCACCGATATCATCAAGAAATCCAATCCCACCAGGATCCTTTTTAAAGATGGAGGCTATAGATGATGATGGCGGCGGCGGCGAGGAAGGTGGAGTAGTTGAAGGGGAAGAAGTTTTGACAGTTGTTGATTCAAGAATGTTTGGTGTTTCACTTGTTGTTGCAGTTACCAGCCCTAGCCCTCCTGGGGGAGAACTACAAACACCTTGGCATTTGCAAGAAGGCTTTTCAGCATCAAAATTACAATTTCCATCAATACTAACACTCATGGGATGATGATTAGTAAGAGCTAAAAAAGAGTGAACGCTTTTCTTGCAGAAGCTCATCATGATACTTAATCTTTTTTTTGAAAAGAAGGACTACTAAAATATATATTGCTGTTGTAAGTGGATGATGACAAAGGGAGAGAAAAAGTTGATGGAGAAAAATAAGGCATGGAAGTGAAAAAGTTATAGAAAGCAGAGAGGGGGAGATGAGGGTATTAATAGCATCCTCACAGCAAAGATAGAAAGCGAGAGGAATAGCTAGAGTATGTGGTATGGTATAGGCTGAGCCAACGTGACTGAAGGTAAAACGTTAGCTGGATCAGTGATAGAGGAAACGGTGCCTGGTCCCACGTAAGATGGCCTTAGACTCGGTTCAGATTTTGCCTTCTTCTTAAACACTTAATTTCTTCTGTATTATTATTGTTTTGCTTTGGTTGAGGTTGGCAATTTTGAAAGGGATTTTGTATATGGCTGTGGTTGTGTTAGCCGCCTGGCAAAAGGGTCGGCCTAATCATTTCCAAACCAAGAGGAGTTGCCTCCACGTATAATAATTATATGGATACTATTCACTGGAATTCAGTCTGATGGAGAGGTGGATTTTCTTTCAAAGTTATCATTAATAAATTGAATCTTAGACAATTTTTTTTTAATCTTTTACGTTTAATTTCGGTGTGAATGATATGTTTAAAGTTTAAAGAAATGGACTTTGATTTGATAGAAACTCAATTATTTTGTTACGTAAGCAAAAACTCAATCATATCTTGCACATATTTTGGAAGATTTTTTTTTGGATTATTATCTAAAAAATTCTGCCAATTAAATATGCAGTACAAGATATGGATGGAGGGCAATATTTGCTCGTGTGTTTCACTATTTGCTTTTTTATCAAATAATTAAAATTAATCATATAATTCATGCGATTGAAGAATTGGATGCATATAAATTGAGTTGAGTGGCAAAAACCACGACCAATTTGGCCTTAATTTAATTTCAATGGTTGAGTAAGATTAAATTTTTTTTTTTACATGTATATTTGGATGGTTAAAAGGATTTAAACACCCCTAAATTTTAAATCATTTGAGATTGATTTTTTGAAAAAAAAATTATTGGTTTTGAATATCATTAAACTTTTAATTTTTCTTTTTAAATTTACCCCATCCTTTAATTTTTTGTAATGTACAATAATTATATAAATATTTTTATTATAAAAGTCGTTCCGTGAGTTTATGTGGAGCTTTTAGAAAAATTTAAGATCATTTTAGAATTATTTTTTTATTTTTCTTAATTTTTGATATTTTTAATATTCAAAAATATATATATATAATTTTTAATTTTGAAAATTTTTGGAATTTTTCTACAAAATAGATTGATTTTTTTCAATATGTGTATAAAATTTCAACACAAAATATCAAAAAATAATTTTTTTAAAAAAATATGATAATTAAAAATCACTAGATCGATAGACTAAATATCAAAAAAATTAAAAGTTTAAGAATTCTTCAGATTTAATCTCAAACAACTTAAAGCTTATGGCCTATTTGGGTCGTACAGATCTTGACGTACGACACATTTCATTTTCTACGGAATTTCTATGTTGTCTGACAATTAAACCAAATCGTTAGGCAATTCAAATTTAAACTTATAGACACCTTCTTTGGAGAGAATATATCTTGTGATAACTATTAAGTTGTTCCTCGGGAACTTCTTGATTTTTTTTTTTTTTTAAAAAAAAATCTTTTTTTACTTGACGAAAAACTAACTTCTGGATTCCATATCGCAATCTTATAATGTATAGTAATGTAACATTTAGAAAAACATTTTGTGGTGAATTAATTAGAAATACAATAATTTCTGATTGGGAGTTCTGTCATTCTGTGGGATGGGGAGGAGAATATTTAAGCTCCTTGGAAGTGTCAACAGGACCAATATATCCAGCTCAGATTTGGGAAGACAGCATATAGCAAGATAAGATACCACAGATGTAAGGCACTAGTCTATCTGGTGGGGCTTTTGCCATCCATGACTACAGATGGTTTCGAGAAACAATGGGGGAAAAAGGAATAGAGAGAACAAAGTTTAAGCAAGTAAAGTCATGGCAGGAGGCATGATGACCAATCCAAAATATATATATATATATATATATATATTTTCAACAATAAGGGTGTCTTTATTAGCTTTTATGTATTTCAAAACTATTTTTTTTTTTTTTGAATACGATTAAAGAGTACTTCTTAATTTACGATTTTAAATATTTTAAAAATAATTTTTTAGAAATACTGATCATAAAGATCGAAATCCTGGATCGGACCTATAAATAGACATTTACATACCAAGACTACAACTTTGTGATTAAAATATTATCTTTTTTCTTTAGCAAGCAAGTGATTTATCCTAAAATAATTAAGTTTATGTCTTTTCCTGTCTTATATAAACAGGCTATCCCCGTCTATATATATATAGAGCCAAAGTTTTTCTTTTTTTTATTTAATGGTCATGGCCCTTTAATTTTTTTATTTTTTTATTCAGATACTCTTATTATACATTAGATATAAGATTAATTTTATTCAAAACGAGAACGACAAGATTTTATCCTTTTCAATAAATACAACTCTAAAATTTAAATCATCCGCGTTAATAAAAAATTTATCCATTAATTAGTTAATTTACCGAACTAGTTAGTTTACCACTAGACTTGTTGTTAAGTATTTAATTTTTAATAATAGTTAAGCATCAATTTTTAAAAATATCATTATTCATGTTGAAATTCTTCCTAGTAATTATTTCGGGGCCGCTTTTTTTGAAATTCTAAGAAATTACTAAGTTCGGGTCAATTTAAACTTCTTATAAGTCTTTTTAAAAAAAAAAAAAAATGAAAGAAAGGATTTGTATAGAATGAATCAAAGAGACATCAGAACAAAATACATCCTGTAAAAAGAAGGAAAAATCCTGAACGAAGATATACTCATCAGAAATAAATTTTGCTAAATTAGCTAATTTCTGAGCAGTTTTATTACGTACATAAACTTCTTACAAGCTTAATTACTTGATAGTTGAGTTTTGATAATAATAATAATAAAAAAAAAACACCCTCTTAACCATTAAATCATCCCCAAATTATAAATGACATGTTATCCAAAATTCTTTGAAATGAAAGATCGATAACAGACCCTCTGATGAACTCAAATTGCCAACCCAGGAAGATGATATAGATCAGAGATTGTTATTATTATGATCAGCTAAACATTATCTCAATTTACTTTACTTATTAAAAACATGTACGTACCTTTAAAATGATATTACATCTTCCTTATACGTAAGTGCTATCTATGTCTCTTTACGTTTTGTCATTCAACTAATCCCAATATCATCATAAACCTCATCCATTTACAGTCTTTGCCATCACACGTGCACAAAGTGAATTTTTAGCAGCAATTGTTCCACAACTATACTAGCACATTTTAGTAAAATATCATTTTAAACACATGTTATAATGACATTCATCACTACTTTTTTAATTTCTTACGCTTACAAAATATTACAGATTCATATCTTTTTTTTAAGTATTTAAGTTTTTAAGTACAAAAGAAAGTTAAAGTAGTCCTTCGTCTTTATAATAACGATAATTAATTTAATTTATTATAATTATATGACTATCACCCATGTCTTAATAATTAATCTCTTAACATCTAATAATTAAGTGGATTGTAAAACCCCTATCTATGACAAATAAATAAATAAATAATGTTATATTGAAATGTCATCGTAATATATACCTATCATAATATTTAGTTTTAGAAGCTTTTTAAGACAAATGTCGTTAAAATTTTATTTTTGTCGCAATAACAACACACTTCCATCCAGATATTTTGGTTACAAAGGTTTACCCCTCCTTTGAATATTAATATTATATATATATATATATATATATATATATATATAAAAGCTACCCTACGTGTGGCCATTTGTTCTAGAAGTCATCAATTGCATTAAAAATCTAGGAAGACTGAAAAATAGGATGATAATTTACGATTATCCAAAAGTGGGGGCGTCAAGTTGATTTTAGTTTGATAATTAGATTACGTAGCAAAGGACATTCTTGGAACATATCAAAAAAGAATCTCTCGTGATGATTGGTCTAGCTATGAAACTTTATCTACAATTTCTGACTTCTAAAATTAGCATCTGACGGTTACATTACCCACGTATGCTTTGACCGCGAGAGCGAAAGCGACTGGCTTCGTGTAACGCGTGAAGCTATCAATTCATACACCCATTTATTCTATGGTCTTCATTGTCTACAATACTCTTGTTTGTGGCTATCATAAACTTTATATTTTTATTTTTTAAAAGTTAGAACGTTCGAAAATTTTAAATTTAACATAAATTCATACTTATTTATGATGGTCGAGAATGGTCAGTTTTTGAATTATTATTATTATTATTATTATCATTATTCTTTCTGTATAAACATTGGTTTTTTTATGGAAAAAAGATGCTTAAACGTGCCTATAAATATCGAAAGTCAATAGGTTTGTGCTGATCGTGACGGGAAGATAAAGTAATATTTAGTTAGGTCAATCCAACGATCCAAGGTCAGAACTCGTGGACGAATGAGTTTTGTAATGCTTGCTTTTTTTGGTACATAGAATGAAACTTAGTTTAATGATTAAAAAGTAAGTCAACGGATGAATTTTTTAATAATATATAAGATGAATATTTTAAAAATATGTAAAATTTAAATTTAAAAATCTTATTTATTAAAAAAATTAAATATCATTATTTTTGTTTTAAAAGATAATTCTATTTTCAATATAAAATATAGATATTTAGGAACAATTTAGAAAGAAACAGAACTAAACTGCACTAAGGCCTTTAGTAAGGTCAATCGAACTATCCAAGGTCAAAACTTGTGGACGAGTGAATTTTGTAATGCTTATTTCTTTTTGGTACATAAAATAAAACTAAACAGGGCTCAATTTTGCAATCGGCCAAATTTTATTGCTTCTATTTCAAAAACATTAATCTTATTTCTAACGTATGAAAAAAAAAATATTTGAGGGAAAAAAAAAAAACATTCATCGTCACTGTTTCTTTACACTCACGTGTACTGATGATTTCTGATGATTTCTGATGTTTTCTCTTCCAGCCGTTAGATTGCTTTTTTTTTTTTCCCTGATGTGTTTGCGTGGGCCTTTTGACTGTGTGCTAGGATAGAAAACGGATTGCACGTTTTAAAAAACAATTTCTCGCCCCTGGTCTTGGAGCTCATCTTTTTTGTTCCCTTATTTTTCACCCTTTAATTCTCCTTGTTATTTCGGTTACGCCACTGAGTTTTTTAATGCGATTACGTATTTGCCTTTTATTGTTAGTTTTACTTATTATCTTTTCAGTCTCTTTTTGTAATTATGCTCCCTGCTTTGGTGGAGCATTGAATGATTCTCTACGGAAATTGTTCATCGACTTTCTTCTCCACGAGATTCATTCATTTTGACAACCCAGGATGCTGCGGTCAAGAAAACTAGAGTTTGTTTCTGATTTTTTGATTGTTCTCTTTGACAATGTTGTGCAGCTTGAAGTCGTTCGTGGGGTTTTTTCTTTCTTAATTGTCTTATTTTGGTCTGGGTTACAATTTAAGAATGTTATTATTGTCATTTTTTTCTTTAAAAAAATGCATTTTTTGTTTTGAGCTGCAACTTTTTTTTTTTTTTTTGAAAAAAAGAATTATAAAGATATAATAGCAGAAGCGTGGAATTTATGGATATATCTTGTAACTTTTTTTGGCAGTTTACTAAAGATCGTATATGAATTGTTTTACATCTCAATAAATAGATAAATCGATTGGTAAACTTGGCCACTCGAGTCATGATAAGATTTCACAATTTAAGAATCTTTTTGTGTTAATACTAATTATAGATACCATTGTATTTTATAAGTGTAAAGTGCTTTTTTTTTAATCAAAACTTTCTATCTCTCTCCCTCTCAACTATTAGACGAAGTTATAAGAATAATTTTATATTATTTTTTAATAATTATTATGTTAATTAAAACAAATTACACAAATTCATCCTTAATTTGTGTTTAATTAAAATAAAAAATAGAATAATGAAATTCGAATTATTAGATATTTGATCATTAAAATTTTAATTTTAATATCATGTTGTATTACTATATCAATTTAAAAACTTAACTTATTAATTGAGATTTCATAAATAATTTTATATTATTTTCTAATAATTATTTGTCAATTCTTATGAAATAATTAACATAATCGAGCTGGGTTCAATCATGCACGGTCAATTTTAGATACAAATTCCAAAGAAAAGGAAAAAAAAGAAAAAAACCACCCCTGTACAAGTAATCTCTTTGTTGCTCCGTATTTTTAAGCTTGGAGTTTTCCATCATGAGGTATATATTAGGGTAGCAATCAATTGACATAAATTGTTTTATTTGATAATAACAATTATCCTAACACATTATTGTCATATCAATGTAAAATTACATGCATGTTATTCAATGTTCACACAATATATATGTGTTCGTAAAGAATTATTTTATATAGTTCACTTAATATCAACGAATATTTAGCACAATAATAATAATAATAATAAATTGATAGACATATACAAAGGAAATAGCAAACCAAGAAAATATCAAGTCCATTGGCACTTTCCTTGGAATCATGATGAATTAATTACTGATTAGTGCCCAAATCTCTTAACATCGCCTCCATTTTTGCACACTTTATGTGGCTTGCCACATACTTCTTATCCTCAATGGAAGCGACAACGTGTAAAGCGTCAAAGGTGACACGTGGTTAAAGGAAAGACTCTCGTTATAACAAGCCAAATGCTCACTGAGCCATCTAGTGTAACCGTGCCAATTTGGCCTTGCTGGCGTTAGGATAATAATAAATATATAGGACAACGTTCTTAGCCAACTGTGCCAATTGTGCTCTCTCTGTCTCTCTATGCTTTGAAAATAAGAGGAGCTACAATTGAATTTTAGCTTTGGTAAATAATAATAATAATAAAAAAAAATGAAAAGATGTGGTAGTACAACTATGCTTTATTGAATGGTTGTGGCAAAAGTATAATCATAGTATTAGTATACTAATAAAGGTTTAGGGTTTGTGGCTTTAGCCTTTAGATCTCTTTGGTAAAATTTCTACAATATTCAACGGAAAAAAAAGAGAATAAATTATATGAAAAAGTGCAATATCCATGCAGACATTAGATTTCTAAAATAATAATAATAATAGAAATAAATAAATAAAAATAAAAAAATAAATTTGGAAGTCATTATGATGGTACTCAAAAACTAATTAATAATATTTATTTTATGAATTTATTTTGGAAAAAAAGAAAAAAGAAAATTACATGGAAACGCACTAAAAATGATCCGTACAAACTTAATTTTTAAATTCTTTTTCTTCTATTTTTCCAATTTTTTTTTATTTTTATTTTTATCTATTGTTGGTTAGTAACATAAAATTTATTGGTAAAAAAATGGTTTTAGAGCAAATTTTAATTTTCCATAGTTGATGGTTTCGTTTGGGCTTGGATGTTTCTTTATTTGGGTCTTGCAGCTTTGGAGTCTAAATAGGTTAGCTTCTTTTGGGGGTCCTTGTTTAACTCGGGCCCTTAATATTGTAAATTTATTTCAATTATAAAGAATTAACATCGCTTTCTAATTAAAGAAAAATTCTAAAAAAAATGAAAATAAAAATCTGAACATAAAATTAATATAGTGATCGAGAGAGTCCTTCGTCACAATCGTCAAAAAATGCCCATTATCACGAGATCATGAAAATTTGTTAAAATATACAATTTATTTATATCATGATTCTCATTGATATCTCTCCGTATAGTCTCTTGATTCGATTTGATTGATTTTGGTCATGGTATATGAAGAAACAAATTTATTGAGAATATGATGCCAAGAAAAGAAAGAATAAATAAATAAATAAAATTGATACTTAGAGAGAACACGTGATTCTAGAGGGGAATAAGGTTCCTAACACCATTAATTGTATGCTCCAATTGTGACAACACAGCCTTTGTCTTCATTCTCAAGATAATTAACTATTATTTGACTAGTTCCTTCCATGGGATAATGTTGTCTGTTTTAGTTCTCAAAAAGATAAAGTTGTATTTTTTTTTTTAATTAAAAGGCTTTCAGGCTTATTGGTTTAGTTGCTAGCATATAGCATATATATATATATATATATATATGAAAATTCATTAACTAGCTATATGTAAATGTGAATTTAAAGGTACACATAAATTTTCTTGAAAAATGACTTATCAGAATTTGCTCTTCCTCCCTGAAAAATATATACTATGTACTTCGTAGATAAATATTTCTCTTTTTTTATGAAGATATATGATAGACAAGTATTTTGGATATGTAAGAGTTTATGTTTTGGAGTTTGGAACAAAAAAATTTATGTTGTCTAAGGCAAGAGTAGTTCCTCCAACCCAACACATGGCCGCTACTGTCATGTGTAGATACAATTCACTATTTAGCCAACAAAATAGTTTTCCATGATTAGAAAACAAGAAAATTTTGTAATGTAAAAGGAAAAATTAAAGAAGAAAAGAGGCATGATATTTAAGAGTTTTAATTATTTTCTTAATAATTATTGATATTTTTTACTTCCTTCCCATAAGTTATATTAGATTTTTCACATAGATAAAATAAATAAATAAATACCGTGTCAAATAATACATTCTTTTTTTTTTTAATTAAATATAGTTGAATAAAAAAAAATGTAAATTCAATTTTTAAAGAAGATTAAAGTAGTAAAATTTGGCACTTAATTTTTTTATTTTTGATAAGAGACATATTTTGAGACATCAAAAATAAGAAAATAAGAACTCGGGATGACAATGCCGAGTATCCGGCCTATTAATTTAATTTTTTATCCTATCCATAAAAAGAATACCTTACTCATTTAGAAATAAACATATAAATCTTTACTCAGCTCATATTCTTGTCCATTTAATACCCACTAAATTTAATTTATCAAAACTATTCATTTAAACTCCTATAATTTTTTTAAAAGAGTGTTTTTGGTCATAAAATTTCTTTTTCATTTTGGTAATTTATTTATAAGTTTTTTGCTCCTCAAAGTTTTTGAAAAAAATATTTTGATCCTTAATTTTTAAATTTTACACACTTAGATCCCCGTATTTTAATAAAAAAATCTAAATAAATTAGTGAGTGTTAACATGATAAAAAATGAGTATTTATATCCTAAAACTATATTAGTGGGTATGTATTTTTTTTACCCTTACCTACTTCAATATCAATTGAATATTTTTAATAAGTATTTATTAATCGGATAAAACGAATACCTGTTTTATATTTGGTCCATTGCCATACATCTCTAATAAGAACTCTCTTTGTGAGACGGAAAAAGTATTATTTTTGATAATAGGTTGGAGAACTCCTGATGTTGGGAGAAACATTAAATTTTTATTCAAATGTTTTTAAATTAATTTGATATATAATGCTCTTATGTTGCAACCCCATTTTCACACCCAATTAAAGTACTTGGTATAGGGCAACTAAATAATTAAAAGTAGGAAGATCTTGAATTTAATTTCCATGAATTACAATTGCATCAAGAATCAATGGTCAAGTATTAATAATATTAATGGTAAGTAAAGTTTTGCTGCGAAGGCTGGGTGAAGAAATATAATTTGTTAATGAACTTCACAACTTAATTCCTCATCCACTTCAATTCTCCCCTCTTGTATATGATTGTCAACTAATTCAAATTTCTCATATGATCCTTGTATTGCTACATGACATAACTTGAAATTTAAACCTTCTATACATACAACTATTTGTTCTTGTTCATACTCTCGACATTTTTATTGGAATAGTACGTAGACTTTATGAAGAACATACTTTCCAGGTGTTTTGGTCGAGGGAGCACACACTTTCAGTTTTATTGAGGCCACTATGCAGGAGGGCTTATATGTGCTGTTTCTGCCTTTTTGTCTGAATGAACAGACGCTAGTCCTTCTCCCCCTTTACCATATAATTCTAAAGGTGATCTGTCGGCATAGCCAATTCCCCTACGTCTGGTAGGAAATAACACGAACAAAAAGCTTGCCAAGACTCCAGCTCCTAATGGCAAATTCATGATAAGTGCTTTATCATTTGGTCCTGCTTTAGGGAAGAAGCAATTTTGCACATCAGAATTACTAAGAGCAAAAACCATGAAAACTATTAGTGATGTAAAAGCATGCACAAAGTCGATGAAAGTGATGCTGAAGGCCTTCGTCTTTTCTTTTTCTTCCTCTCCTGCACCATCGTTTCCATCAATATCATTGAATAGACGGAGGCCATTATATGTGGCTATGCCATAGTATATCTTTTCGTCCTTGCCAATGAAGCTATCAGTGAAGGAGGAAAGAAAACAAGCTAGTGAACAACATATAATAAGACCTAAGGTAAGGTATTTGTTGGCAGGTGCACATTCACCATTGTTTGTGAATGAAGGTATTAAGGCTTCAGCTGCAAGGACTGTGCCTGTAGGCAACAGGTTTGCTAGGTTGGCTTCAGGGACTAGGCTCTTTCGGCCACCTTTGGATGATGAGTTAGGCATGGAAAGGCTAAATATTAATTTAAGGTGGTGATGAGATTAGTTGTTGTATAGGTGTTTGTTTTGCATGTCATATGTTTGATTTGGTTGGATTGTGCTTAATTTATAGGCAAGAGGAGCAGGAAGAAATTGGTGAAATATGCATATAAATTGTGCATGTTCAAGTGCATGTGAGCAGGGTGAGGTTTTTGCCCTCGGAGATGGAGTATCGTTACCAAATCTAAAATGGCCTTCATTAGTTTTTTTTTTTTGGATAAATTACAATAACCTGTTCTAGTATATTATCAAATTATAAAAACCATCCAAAATTTGAAGATTTGACAGAAAAATTTCCTATATTTTAAAAAAAAAATTCAAAATTTGAAGGTTCTTTCATTAGCAATCCCTGTCATGGACATACCACTTAAAGATTCTAAGGTCAACATTAGCATCATGTTTGTTCTCAAATTTACTTTATTTTTTCTTGTATTCTCCTTTCAGCAAGAAAAGCATTCTGGCCAAGTAACTAATTAGAACAACATTAAGAATCTGATCCAGTAGAATGATCAAGTTGATTCGTATTTATCACACCCCATTTGGCTAAAGCGTCCAAGCATGTGGAATGAATGGTTGCTTTTCTCCTTTGATGTTCCCTTCTTGCGCTTAACCCTTTTCCCTGTTCCAGGGTACTATTACTAATAATCTAAAACAAAAGACACTTTTACTATGTCTTTTACTAATCCTTTCACTGTTTAATAAACAGTGCTTTCGTTTTTTTTTTTTTCCTTCTAATATATATATGCACACACAGAAGGCACTTTTAATGTTTATTGAACAGTTTTTTTCTTTTTTGGAGAGGGGGTTGAACCCAGCAGCCAAGCCTTTTTTTTTTTCCCCTTCATATACGCCTGGGCTTCTTTTTTTTTCCTTCATATATATATATATATATATATTACTAATAATTTAAAACAGCACTTTTACTATTCTTTTTATTGTTCGATGAAAAGTGTTTTTCGCATTCCTTTTTTTTTTCCTTCTAGTATACACACACACAGAAGGCACTTTTTCTGGGGGGGTGGTTGGGTTGAACCCAGTAGCCAAGCTCTTTTTGTTTCCCTTCATATACGTCTAGGCTTTTTTTTTTTCACTTCATATATATATATATACACACACCTATTCTCCTATTATTAATAATCTAAACAGAAGACACTTTTATCGTGCCTTTTACCATTCCTTTCACTATTCAATAAATAGTGTTTTCTGCATTTTTTTTTTGCCTTATAACACACACACACACACACACACAAGGCACTTTTAATGTTTAATAAACAATTTTTTTTTTTTGAGGAGGGGGGGGCGGTGTTGAACCCAGCAGTCAAGCCTTATTTTTTTGTTTCCCTTCGTATGCGCCTGGGCTTATATATATATATATATATATATATATATATATATATATATATATATATATATTCACATTTTAAAATACTCTAAAACACTAACCACTTTCACTATGCAATCACTATTTCTTTCGCTCTTTAGTAAATAGTATTTTTCTCGGTTGCTTTTTTTCTTTTTTTCCCTTGGGATTCCCTAGCCAAGCTTTTAGAGAATTTTTTTCATCCCTTTTTTGTAACATTTTTTTATTTTGGTCATTAAAAATTTATTATATTTGATTTTTTTCGATATAATAAATATTAAAATTTTATTATATTTGATTTTTAACCTTATAATAAATATTTTTTTCTTGACTTTTAGTAAAAAAATTATATTTTTTTGTTCTCTTTTGTGATGTGTTTTTATTTTAGTAATTAAATTTTTATTATGTTTGATTTTTATCCTTACTATACTAAAACTAAATAAAGTTTACTATCCTAAAATAGTTTTATACTATTCACTCCTTTTTTTTTTTTTACCCTCACAATATACTATTCACTCTTGGGTGTTTTTTTTCTTTTTAAATTTTCACTCTTAGTTTTCTTTTTTTCTTAGGTTTTTTTTTTGTAATTTTTAAATCATTTCATTTTAATCCCTAGCCGATGCACTACATGCCTTTTCTTTTTTCTTTGATTTTTTTTATTAATTTATGTTCTTTTTTTTAAATTTAATTGGGTGTTAAAATTTTTAAAATCAATCGTTTATTTTTTTCATACAAACCGACGATTATATAATATATATATATATATATATCAAATATATGTACTTTAAAAAATAATCTTCTCATCAACATTAAATAAAAAAGATTTTATTTTTTCATTGATTAATTTTTATGCAAGTCTACACATTAATTGTAACTTTATTTTTTGGATATATTCTTATAAAAAAATATATTTTTAAAGCCTTTGTTTTTATATTCTTAATTAATATTTCAAGTTTAAATTATATATTACAAGTTTTTGTTTAGGAATCCCTAAATAAAGAAAAATAAATCATGTTTTTTAAGTAGAAATTTTATGAAAAACACAAAAAATAGTAATAATTAAATAAAAAAATTAATGAAAAATTATAAAATTTTGAAATGATTTTATTCTATCTACTGTAGCGTTGTGTTGATAATTTCAAAAATTAGTTTTCTCATCAGCATTAAATAAGAAGTTTTTACCATTTGTTAGTTTTTATAAAAGTCCATCTATTAATTATAACTTTATTTTTTGGAATATATTTTTAAATTTTTTTAAATTCTAATAGGAAGATTTTTTTTTTCATTCATAAAGAGGAATGATTTATGTTTTTTTAAGCAAAAGAATTTATATAAAAAAACATTAGAAAAAATTAATTAAATAAGAAATTATAATTATTATTTTTTTTAAATTGTAAAATGAGTTTGTTCTATAAGATCCGCATCATAACGTAGGTAACCGACTAGTGTCTTACTATTAGTAGTCTATAGTAGCATCACATTTATGTAGATTATGTATTCCATGCTTAGATTTTATCAAGTTTTGGTCTAGATATAAACTTATTTTTTTTACCCGTACTACGCTATGGGTTAAATAAAATATATAAAATCGTTTAGAGAAATCATTTCAATTTAGTAATCTGTTTTATGGTGTGAATCTATAAAAAGGTATGAAATCAAAGGTAAAAAAATTATTTATAATTTTTTAATCAAAAATTTTGTATTTAACTTTTTTGTATTTGTTTTTTTTAAAAATGTTTTCTTTAGAAAAATGATTTATCCTTGTTAATCCATGGATTATTAACTAAAAAAAAATTAAATAATTTTTTTTAAAAAAAGGTTTAGTATTTCATAAGATTGTGTTGAAAAACATAAATAACAATTATTAAAAGCTTACATAAAATTGAACAAATGATTTTTTTATTTAATGTTGATGAGAATATCGATTTTTGAAAAAATATGAATTTAATTCTTATATATTTATTTACAAAAGAATGAATAATATTAAAATAAAAAATATATTAATTTGAGTTTCAACTATTAATTAATTAGTTTGATTTTTTACTATAAAAAATCAAAAAACATTATTTGAAATACACTTTTAATCTAAAAATGTATTTTGGATAAATTATATATATTAATCATGCCACTATAATTTAAAAGTTATCTAAATCTATTTTTCAAAAGAAAAAAATAATCGTGTTCTAAACATTTATTCCAAAATTCATACATATAGAAAAATAAATCAAAATTGTCAGTAAATATAATTTTAAATTAATTGGATGAGAATTTAAAAAAATGACAAATTAAAGTAGTAAATTTTAAATAATAAAAAAATTAACAAAAAAGTAAAACAAAATGGGGCAAATCACAATATAATCGAAGTTTGAAATTGAAAAAAAAAGAGAGAATTTTTAAAAAAGATAAATTAATGTAATAAATTTTAAATAACATAAAAAAAGGAGAAAAAATTATTTGAAAAACACTTTTAATCTAAAAATATATTTGAGACAAATTATATATATTAATCATGCCACTATAATTTAAAAATTATCTAAATCTATTTTTCAAAAAAATAATAATAATCATGTTCTAAATATATATTTCAAAATTCCTACATAAATAAATCAAAACTGTCAATAAATATAATTTTAAATTTATTAGATGATAATTTTTTAAAAAATAACAAATTAAAGTAGTAAATTTTAAATAATAAAAAATAATTAACAAAAAATACTAAAACAAAATGGGACAAAATCATAATATAATCAAAGTTTGAAATTGAAAAAAAAAACGAGAGAGAATTAAAAAAAAAGATAAATTAATGTAGTAAATTTAAAATAATATAAAAAGCCAAGAAAAAATTATTTGAAATACACTTTTAATCTAAAAATATAATTCGGACAAATTATATATATTAATCATTTCACTATAATTCTAAATCTATTTTTCAAAACAAAAAATAATTATGTTCTAAAACTATCAGTAAATATAATTTTAAATTAATTACATGAGAATTTTTTTTAAAAAAAGAAATTAAAGTAGTAAATTTTAAATAATAAAAATAATTAACAAAAAATACTAAAACAAAATGGGACCAAAACACAATACGAGTTAAAGTTTGAAATTGAAAAAAAAATATAGAAAAATTGAGGACCAAAGTGTTACAAAAATACCATAAATAGTGAAAGTAATAGTGATTTGTGAGTGTGTGAATAATATTTTAAATAGTGAATGAATAGTAAAATCATGTTTTACTTTGGTTTTATTGATAATACGTTAGATATCTTTGTAAATAAAAAATAAATATATGATGATATGGATGCAGTGTTTTCTATTAGAGAGTAAGATGATCTAACTATTTATTAAAAAAACAATTCGAGTGGAAAGAGCTCTAATCATTTAATAAAATGATATCTAATTTGAGTTTTTATTTATACAAAAAACTCTTTTGCATAGCTTTTTTCATTTTATGCGTTTGACGTAATAACGAGTGATTAATTTGAGTTTTTGGTAGCGAAGATATCTTGGAAGATAAAAAAAAAAAAAAGGTTTTGTCTAAAATTAGGGTTTTCTTTTTTACCTTTTACTAAGCCAAAGCCTAAGATTTCCGAGTTGTTGAGCAATT